AAGTGTTATGGGATACGAGGTTGACATATATGTGAGGGTGAGATGAATTAGAGGTATGATTTAGGGTATTTGCTAAAATAAAATTGAGATTGAAAAGTTTATCGTAAAGAGACGTTTTTCTTTATATTGTTTAGTCATATTGCTAGAGGTGTTATAAATGTTAACGTTAAAGTTACCCATTATGACTATATGAAAGGATTTTTTTTGTGTATCTAAAATAAGCTCTGTTAATTTGGCTTCTATTTGTTTTCTCAGGATGATTTGTGTTTTATTACTATGGTTCGCAGGAAGATAAATTTGAAAAATCCTTAATTTGGTTTTGTTCTTGAAATGAAAGTCAATATATGCAATTTTGTCAAAGAGAAATTTGTAAAAAAAAATATGGTCATATAAATAATTTCTAATAATAAAACCAACATCTTGACAGTTTTGTGATAGATTATTTAATAAAAATAGAAAATGATAAGGTTTTGATTTAAAATTTTGTGAATAATAAAAAGCTTGCAATTTGTTAAAATGAGTTTCAAAAAAACCTAAAATATCTAAATTGTAATTGATGAAAAATTGTTTGATTTGCATTAATTTGACATCTAAAGTACAGCTTCTAACATTATGTGTGGCAAAAGAAAAAAATTTAGGATTATTGCACTGCGTATAAAAATTACTTTGTGAATTTATTCTTATTAAATTGATGCTTTTAGACATCATTGATAATAATGGTATTTTGTGTTATCATTAGATAGAATGAGATGATGTTTGAAGAATAGGAGTAATTAAAGAAATTAGACTGCGTATTTCATTTTTAATTTCATTGACAGATGATTCAACAAGACCTATATGTTGGAGGTTGTCAGTTGGAGATGATAATGAGACATTTTGATTCTGAATAGTGGTAATCATTTGAGAAATTTGTGGTTCAGGAGTTTATTCATCGATGGGCATTAAAAAGTCGTCATGTGACAGAAATTTGTAGTTTGGATTAGCAACGTAATTTGGGTCATATTTAATATTGTAAATTCTAAATGGTTCAAACAAAAACCAATGTCATTTATATCATCCGCGTGGATTGTAAGATCAGATTTGATAACTTTAATTTCATCATCGATTGCAAGGAGTCTATTTTTAAATGAATCAAGCCTTTCTTATACTAATTTGATAGCATCAAAGACATTTTGTGGTGTCTTAGAAGGATCCTTAATAATGGATTGTTTTTGGTCATTGAGAATATTTGCAAATGAGGGGTTGTTGGGATTGCTTTTGTTGAAAATGTAAGGTGATCGGTATTGTTCAAGTTTAAAATGGTCGTATAATGGTTTGTATGAATTAGCAGGTTTTCAGTTTGAGCAATCTTTGAATTCATGTCCAAGTGCATTACAGTTACAACAATGTTTAGCAGAAAGGTCCATCCAGAATAGCGTTCTTCCTTTAAATTTTGTGACTACGCCGCCGCAGCATCTAGGTCATTAAGAAAAGCAAAATTAATAAAAGCGTAAGATCAGAGATGATATTATTGATCTCTAGAGATGAAAACAAGATTTGGCTTTAATGTATGTAAGAAAGTCCTGTAGTTGTTGTTAGTTAGTATTGAGAGGAAGACCCGTCAGTTTTAATTCAAATTGTTAGCGTAGTGAAATTTGCATAGGGTCTAAATTGGTTGATTCTACATGTAGAGCATTTTTTAGAAATTGGATAGACCAGTGATTGTCATAGAAAGGTTTGATAGTTTCAGCTTTTTCAAAAATAATAAAGGTAATTTGCCATGGGCCGTGAATAATTATAGAGAATCTGGTGATTGCGTTATATTTAGCAAAGTAATTTTGTAATATATCAGATTTAATAAACAAAGGGATGTCAGAGATCTTCAGGGTCATTCCTTTTTCAGGCTGGATCTACTACTGTGAAGATCAGATTATGTTGTGATTTTTGAATATCCTTGATTGTATGCAGGAGTTCATCCATTGTACGGAAGTAGACAAAGAATTTTCTCATTTGGAAATATAGTTAGAACCTTGATAGCCATTATAACGGATGAATAAGGAGTTGATGTTTGTACATTTTTCAGCAATAGATTTATCTTTTATATCAGACGTGTTGTCTATCGCGTAAAAAGTGATGATGTTATAGGTAGCATCTTTATTTTCTTGTTTACTTGACTTATTTTCAGAAACTTTGTCAGACTAAGATTGTTTAGCTTTTCCCTTATCATCAGGAAGTTCGTATTCAAATCCTGTGTCTTCAAACATGTTGTCAGCATTATTTTTGGCGTGCATAGAGTCGTTGGTTGTGAGTATAGGAAAAATTGGTGTTTGTTGGTTAGGTGGAATAATAGTTGAGTCAACTTTTATATCGGCTGGTATGTAAGTTTCAGTAGTTTTTAAAGGTTGTAAGTTTTTTAAAGGTGCTGGAATAACAGTTTCTGAGGCTTGATTAGTAATAATATTTTGCACTGTAATATTATCAGTTTATTCGTTTGAAGTAGTAGTTGTTTTTTTTTTTTTTTTAGAGTAGTATTTTTCAAGAATCCATTTTAATATTTATTTCAAATTCTTTTTATAAAATAAATTAGAATAAAATAATCATACAAAATTGAATTTTGTAATAGTTAAAATCTATTATTTAAATTTTTGTCTTTTGATTGATCTTATTCAGGACTTATTTAAGATCAAGTCTGAAAATGTCTTATTTAGAATAAGGTCTGAAAAATTGGACTTAAAGATTTGCAGATCTGATTTTAAGACTAAGACTTTAACAACTCTAATTATAACTCTTAAAGGTTTTTGACCATTAATATATTCATGATTTTTAACAAACCATATTTTTCTGAAACTTTATCAATAGATTGGAAGTTAATCTAAAGAACTTATGATATCTAATATATTTCTAAATAGTAATAAAATAATTTTTCAAATTTCATTTAGAAAATTCTTAGAGAAAAATTTATTAAATTTATTATTGAATTTAAAGTATATGTCATATTAGCCTTTTGTTCTTTTAAATTTAGTAGTTAAACTAATAGAATCTCAGTAATGCTAGTTAGAATACAAGGAGCTTCTTCATTATCAGACTCATAATTTGATTTATAATTATTATTAATTATTATAATCATTTGATTTCAAATCAGATTTATTATTAGAATAACTGTTTGAGTTGCTTAAATATTTATCAGATTCAGCACTATCATAACGAGCAAACTTTGGGCTGAATTCACTATTTAGTTAAAAATAGTTGGGGTATTTATATTATTAGTAGATAAAACTTTATACACTTCAATATACTTTTGAAATATTTAATTATTTTTCAAAAAATGCAAAAGAAATAATAACAATCTTAGTCAGCAGAATATAAAAGGAAACCATCTGGATGAGTATCTGAAAGTATAGTCTTCTTTATAATCTTTATATAAATAATAAAAGAAGATAACACTTTTCTAGATATATGTCTGAGTATGGTAAGCCTTTTAGAAGCATTATCATATGATTCTTCTAATAATATACATAAAGTGTATCATATATTCTTCCAACAATTATGCATAAAGTGTCACTTTACATTAAGCCTTCTGGAAGCATTATCATATGACTTTCTTAACAGTATATGTAGTGTATTATATATTTAGAATACTATTATGATACTATGTTTGATCCTCTAATCATACGTCTAAAGATTGGCTAGAATTATATTATAGTGCCAGCTGAAATTAATTGCAGATTTATTGCACTATCTAATGTTTTTTTACACTACCTTGATACCTTGAAGGGCTATCAATACAATTGCTCCAAAGTAGTAACTATGCTCAAAAACATTCAAGGAACATAAGAATGAAAAATAAGAAATAGATTTGGTAGTACTTCAAGTCATAATATTATATTATTAAGAAAAGAAAATAGAAAATTATAACTTAGTGTACTACTAATGATAGGCAAGAAAGAGGTTATGAAGGTAAAAAGGTCTAGGAGAATACAAGAAAAAAAGAGTATGAAAGATGTGAAGCCTGAACTAATTCGGCACTTTATTTCACAACCTCAACAATCAAATAGTTTAAAAAGGTAGGATAGTAAGAATGTTACAATAACAGCAATCCTACCTGCAAACATGAATTATGCAATCAATAATAGAGCAATAAAAATAAGCAGATAACAAGAGAGCAATAAAAGGGTATAGAGCAATAAAAATAACCAAATATATACACAGTAATAAAAAGGTTACAGAGCCTTTGAAAACAATAAATAGGAAACAATTTACCTCAAATAGGTAACAGTTTTATTATAATAGGCAACAGTTTAACATAAGTAAGTTACACTATATATATAGTGCAACCTACTAATTAACAATTTTGCAAGCAAATTTGCCTGCTAGACAATCTAAGAAATAATATTATAAAAATATAAATTATAAAATTTCATATTGTTTATTTACAACAAATTATTAAAATTATTATATTAATTATAAAAATTTTCATAAATTTCCAAAGCTGAAATGCAATTATAAAATTTTAATAAACTTTCACGCATTTATGAATAATATGATATTTCCTGATTTGACATATAAGAAAACTTGCATAGCCAAATTATTAATAACCAAAACTATTTCTTTATCATTGAGATTTAATATTTTATCAATCATAGACAGAATGACTTTTGCATTCAAATTGCCTAGAAGTAAATAGTGCAACAGAAAATTAATATTAGAGTATAAAAAATCTGAGATGTGTACTTTTGAAATTGGAAATTTAAAAATATGAATTAACAATATAATTATGTAACACCGGATTGAATTACCGGTTTAAAATGTGATGATCATCCGAGAAACAAAACACATTTCATATTTACATTTTATTTTCTTGAGATTGTCAATAAATTAATATTATTAAAAATAGGGCAATTTTTTTAAATTTTAATCACTAAATCGAAATTTCGAAAAATTTACAAATTTCGCATATTATTCACCCAATCCTCTTTTTTTTTTAGATGATATCTACACTTTTGTTTTGTTATACTTCCACTCTATTTTTGTCTTGGCATAACGAAATTTAATTGTTGTGTAAGACGAGAATTTATTCGTTTCGTTAAAAGAGATTGTAAATTATCAACAATAGGTTGTAACTTTTTCGATAAATCCTTCTTGGAAGACGCCAAAGCATATTTTTGAATTGATAGTACAAAATGTGCCTTTGATTCTTTTGAAAAGTCTGACAATCCTACAATTTCTTGAACTTGATTGAAAATGGATTCATCACCTAATAATAAATTAAAAAATTAATTTAAAATGAAAATTAAAAATCGTTTCATAGAAAAAAAAATATTAAGTTAAATACCTGTTCTTGTACTTTGAATTTTTTTCTTGATTTCGAATGTTAATTTTGATAAACTTTCGTCAACTTTTACTGGTTGTAATGTAATCAATCTTTGATTTACTCTTTGAGATAATTTCGCACGTCGTCCAAGCATATCCTGAGCTACCTGACTCAAAATATCTAATCCACTAGGCTCGGGCTGCGGTGAAATTGATTTTTTTAATAATAATTCTTCAGCTTGGTTCGAATGTCCATTTATTGCCACCTTCAATTTTAGTTCAACCGCCTGATTTAATACATCCAAATTATTTAAAGTTTTTTCAATTGATGTCTGACTCAAAGAATTAGTACTTATATGTGGTGTTGAATCAGCTCTCTTCAGCTTATCAATACCATTGGGTATTATATTGTGATTATCATAATGTGATCCCGGTGAAGTATACGATATTTTCTGGATCAAAGATTGTTCATGATTTGGAATTGTAACGCCATTGGTTTCATTTACTGGTATTGATATATTTTGTATATTATCATCAATTTCCATAACATTTGACAAGTCTGCTGTTGACATTTTATTATGATTTGGCGGTGTTGGTGGCGGCGTTAAAGATTTAGTATTATAACTACGCATCTGGCCATTTATTTTATTAGTTTGAACTACTGGAACAGCCTCCCAAGGATTTCTTGGTAACGTAGTATTTACATGTACTTTCGGTATATTTAATATTATTTGTCTTCCAGGAACTATTTTAAAAGGTAAAATTTCTTTCTCGAATGAACCATTAAAAATGATTCCCGTAGGTGACGTTAATAATCTTTGCCGCTCTTTTGGAGACATTTTTGGAGCCCGACGTTGCTGAACAGCTTTCTTATACTTCAAGATAAATAATAAAATATTATCAATATTTACATAATATATATATATATATATATATATATATATAAAATCTACCTACTTTGTCGGGATTTTTATAAGGGTTACCATATGCTCGCTTATCAGGTACTTTGTCACGATATATTTCGGGATCTCTTAATTCTAGTTTTGCCCTTTCCTTAACTACTGGTATATGCGATCCCATAATGTCAATAGGTAATGAATGTTTTGGATCTACAAATTTCGACGTAGCGAACAAAAAAATCATCAGATGTATGTAATTAAGGATAATTCTAATTTAATCTTTTATTAGTTACCAAATTCTATCACTGCTTCCATTATATCAAATAATTCACATCTTTTACTATCTGTTTTAGCTACTATTAAATCGGAATCGTTAATCTATTATAATTATATTTATTGTTTTAATTAATAATATATACATATTTATTTAAAAATTCAATTTATGTAATATATATAATATTACATTACCTTTTTAGGTAATAATAAGGGCTTGAAGAGATTCTGTTATGAAGAAATAATATTAACAAGTATTCAACATAATAATAATTATATGTGTATGAACATACCAAACGGTTGGAAATATTTTCCTCAATCATTTGATTGAATTTTGCATCTGCTTCTTTCGTGAGTTGCTTACACCAAGAGTCATATCTTTCCATATTTAAAATGGGAAAGATATTACTGTAAATTCCATAATACTGTTTCAATGTACTAGCAAGTATCTTTGTAAAAAATAAATAATTTATTAACGAATATACTATATAAATAAATATACATATATTTTATGTAAAGGAAAAACTGCTTACCGAATAATAGTACCACGGAATATTGTACAAATATCCTTCCATTGCTTTTCTCCAATCCATTGAAGGTTCTGCATAATTCTGTATATTATCTAAATTTAATTGAAAAATAAATTGAGTCGATCGCATCGTAAGTTAAATAAATAAAATTCTAAAGATAATTACGAGTTCTCAATAATTGAGCCAACTCAATGTAATTATATGGAAGGAGAACGAGACATGCTTCCATAGTATATTCATCTTTTCTGATGACTGTCAAGTATCCAAACGGTTGACCAAGTACACCTTGACTTTGCCGTCCACTATGTTCAACATATACCTTTTTATATAAATTTTTTAATACATATTATATATAAATGATTGAATATAATTAACATTGACATTTGTTAGTGATATTCTGCTTACAGGCCATTTAATTCCTGGTTTTTGCCTCAATAATTCTTTGCTCACGTCACAATCTGATAATTTGTAAATGTCGCGAGAAAAATGAGGTGGCAAATCATATACGTCCGCACTTAATTTATTAGTTTTCCAAAATATGACCGTAGGAATCGATGGACGCTTATGTTCATACTGAAAAAAATTTTATTTAAATATCAAAGAAAAATATGATAAATTCATAATCAAATTACTCGGTAAAAGATATTCACCACGACTTTTGGGGAAAACCCTCTCATTGCATCAGGTTCAATCCAATATTCTTCAGGAATTGGATAAGTTCCATTTATCTTATTCGGATCGACGTAGAGGTGAACAAAATGATTAATCCTTTCAGGAGACCCATCCACTAATAAGAAAGAATTAATTCAATACAAAATATGAATTAAAAAAAAAAATTTTTTTTATCAACCTTGTTCAACTAAATTCAAATGTACTCCACATGTCTTTTTTAATGGACGCATATGATGTAATTTAGAAAGTGGATATGGATCCTTGATGCAAATGATATTATCAAATGCATGGACCATTTGCTCAAATGTATGAATTTTATACAATTGACCTAAACTCGAAATTAATTGTTAAGTATTTAGTTGAATATTTACATATACGCGTAATTTAATATGATTACCAAGCATTTTCATATTTATCCAATCCAATTGTCTTGGAAAATCAGGCGAATCTGATTTCGAAAGATAAAAAGTATACAATCTCTGTTCCCATCGATACTTTTCTTTGTATATATTTGTACTTTTTTCTGAATCCTTCTAAAATAAAATAAATTTAATTTATTGAATGTTTCGAATATGAAGATCAAGTATTATGGTAATATTTATTACCGGGTACACGAGACCATTATTTAACCAATTTAAATTCTTTCCATCTGTAAACCAAAATATACAAGAAGTTTCGTTGTGTTCGATATAGTTGCCCTAAAATTTAAAAATATGATAAGCTCACCCGCAGCAGAATTTTTCACGTGATTCTACCAAAGGAAATTGTCACGTGGTTTAGAATCGAATATTAAAATATTACTTACTCTACAAAAAAAATCATGCCATCTACAAATGCGACGAAAATTTAAATACTCAAAAACTGTTTCAAGTCCCGATCCATAGAATGATGGATCTGGTTGTAATAGCTCAAGTTGTTCAAATAATTTATATAATTTATTTCCATCTTTTTTATATTCCCACTATAAATGAAAAATATATATATAATATATATATATATATCATGAAAGCTTCAAAATTTATATTTCATATGGATTTATTTGGGAAAATATTAAACCGAATTTTGGAAAGAGAACATATTGGAGAAAAAATATATTTACCTTTATACAATAACCTCTTTTATCGGATGACACCAAGAGATATTTGGTTCGATATTGATCCCGTGTTCCATTCATATACTATTTGTTAGTAAGTTGATGAAGGATTTTTAAAAACTTGACAAAACTTTACAAAGATTGTAAATATTATTTATATTTATATACCTCCAGGAAATTCCGAATTCCATCTTTGACAATATCCAATAGGGACGATCCGACTAGAGTCTCATCTTCACAAACATCTATCACAAATGCGATAATCATCTTAAATCTACTGCGCCATTTTAAATAAACAAGGTTAGGAATATGAAATATTAATCCCATCATTTATAAGCATGATTACTTACATGAAAATATTTTATTTATTCTCCTCTCGATTTACACTTTCTTTCCTAATAAAAATAATAAAAAATGATAATTTAATATTTTCTAATGTAAATGTTTTTAAAATACTGCGCCGCATGTAATTTAATTGTGCGCAGTACATGATTAGGTAATTTCATTATTTAAAACTGGTTACTGCGGTGATACACTTACGATAACAAATTCTCTTGCTAGATTAGCTCGAACAAATGTTAGATATTCACAGCTATTACCAAATATGGAAAAAGAAGAAAATATTAAAAAAAATTTTCTTCAGGAAAAAGAACGGAAACACTTTTAACCATATCCGTAGAATAAAAAAAGACCGTAAATGAAAGTTGATTTCGTTTTCTAAAGAAAACGAAACTATCTTTCCCATTTACAGTCACCCAAGACTTGCCTTATTCTCAAGGACAAGAATTTTGGGTTTTACAAATTGAAGGAAAGAAAAACCGAAGAATAACACTGGGCGCAAAAAAACGTGCCTTTTATAATTTTTTGGATCTACCCCTTGTGTCACAAAATCACGTGATGTTGCGTAAAGGTTTATTACAAAAAAGGTGATGTCCACTTTAATTTATATAAAAGGTCTTGGACAAGACTTTAGTCTAGGGTAAAAAAGCCTGAATCCGGGTCTAGGCTAAATTTGTTCTTTATTAAACTTATGGAACCCTCACGTTACACTTAACAATTATAATGTAAAAAGGTTTTTTTATGGTTACCACGATCACATGATTAAGTATTGTATTGTAAATTATATTAAAAATTAAATTATTATAAATTCTAAATAAATTATCATTATTCAAATATTTTTTAAATATGTAATTTTAGTATTTTAGTAATGAAAGTTTCTTATAAGTTATTGAACTGTGCCTAACTTCAAAAAAAAATTAAAAAGAGTCCGTTCTCTCTTTCCATAACATCTAAAAATCGATAAATTACAAATTTTTGAATAATTTTGTAAAATAAGTTTAATATACATTGATAATGCTTATCCGCCAACTTCTATTTCTTCCATTGGTACCATTTCGTATCTATCTCTTTCAACGTCAGCACTTGTTTTAGTTTTCACAGTTGCACTGCTACCACTGGCGCCAACACTAGCACCTTCTCCCATTTCATCGTTTAATGGAATTGGTTCCATCTCCTTTCTCATGCAATAAATTTCACCACCAAAAATCATGATACAACATGTTGTTGCATTTAAAGCCCACCATACAAATGTTGTAGGCACATGGCCAGAGTAATAAGTAGTTATCAATAAATGAAAGAAATGTAAAGTTATACTAAAATCTAAAACAAGTCTGGCGCGCTGAATAAGTCGCACGAGGAGGTATATTCTAAATGTAAATTTTTAAAGAATATAAATAAACATCTATTTAACTAGTTTTAAATATTATCTGAAATATAACTCACCCAACTATAGAATTTGCTATCCATGCGAACCCTATAGTCCATCCTAATACTGTATCTGCCCTAAACTCTCGATAGTCTAATAAGTGGTCTAATGTTATATCGGTTCCTGTTATTAAAAGAGTGAAAAGTGTAATAAGAGAGATAGATGTATAATATAAAGTTTGCAAAGCAATGATCTAAATAAAATGTAAATTTGACGAAACTCGTTAGTTTTAAAACGCCAAACCCAGTTTCGGTCCTTCTGAGGTAATAAATCTAACCCTATTTTTTTTTTACCTGAGAAAGGATGAGAAGTGGATCCCAAACCGTTGTTCTAAATGTTTGATTTCTACGCATTGAAGAATTATTATGAGGTTTCGAGTATAATAATAAAAACCAAAATTTTATATATTTAGAATGTGGCAATAAACTTTAAAATTTCGGTCATGTGAAAAATTTAATCATCTATTTATAGAAAGATAATCCTTGCCACAAAATCATTATAGTACCACTAAAAGTTGTGATTATAAAGAGGCGTGCTTATATTGAGGTTTTTGTTATATAATCGCATATTAGGAAAGTTTTAATATTAATGTGATTAAAAAAATTGTTTTTATACATTTTTGAGTTAAAATTAAATCATAAAAATTATCAATTTAGATTTAGTTAAATGTATTCATTTTGTAAAAATTTTTTTTTTAAAAAAAACTTATTTAACCCTCTTACGTATCCTTTGAAAGCATAGGTAAAGTCTATTTAATGGCGTTATTACACAATTATTTATATACATTTTATAATAAAGTTCAATTAAAAAATAACCAAACCTTTTTTTTTAATTAATAACCAATAATGAAACTTTGCATATATACTTTTCAAAGCTATTTCGTTTGTTTAATTTCATTGCATCCAATATCACGTGATACAATATCAGCTAATAAAAAATGATCCCATTTTTATGTAACTGAAAAAAATGAATTAAACCCACGATTAGCAAAAAATGTGTCTGTAAATTCTTTAAACATTCTTGAATATTAGCAATTAAAAAGCAATTAACACTGCTATATAGTGTTCTGCAATTCGATTTGATATTTGAATATTTGATTTGATTCGATCAAATTCAAATCAAGTATTCAAATATTTAATTTGATTTGAATTAATAGTAAAGCTATCTACAAAGCTTCAGGAGTGTCTTTTACTAAGAAAACCATAGTAAAAAGCACTTTCGCAGCTTTGGAAATGTCTTTTTACTAAGAAAACTATAGCAAAAAGCACCTCCACAATATTAAAATACCTTTTTTACTAAGAAAAACATAGTAAAAAACGCTTCTACAACTTCAGAAATGCTATTTTACTTAGAAAACAGTAAAAAATACCTCTGCAGCTTCAGAGACGCTATTTTACTAAGAAACATAGTAAAAAATGCCTTTGCGACTTTGGAGACATTTTTACTAAGAAACCTAGTAAAAAACGCCTCCGCAACTTCAGAAACGTTTTTTTATTAATAAATTTGTTATGAAGCTGAGATGAAGGTTATTACTAGGTTTTCTTAGTAAAACTGAAGCCACGATAGCGGTTATTACTAAGTTTTCTTAGTAAACTGAAGCTGCTATTACTAAGTTTTTTTAGTAAACTGAAACCGCAATGGCAGTTATTACTAAATTTTCTTAGTAAAACTGAAACTGTAGAGTTATTTTATTAAGTTTAATAGTAAAAATTTACCTATTACTAAACTTATTTTGTAAAAGCTATCTTTGAAATTTTTTAGTGCAATTACCAATAAATTTCATAATTAAAACTTTAGAATAACTTTATTTTAATATATCATTATAAAAATTAAAAAAAATTATATTTGATTTGATTCAATTTAATTTAATTTGATCAATTCAATTCAATTCAATCAACTTGATTTGATTTGATCAAATTCAAATTAATTCAAATTGATTCAATCAAATATTTGAGTTCAATTCAATTCAATTTGATTCGATTTGAAAAAATCAAATCAATTTCAAATTGCTTAAATATTTGATTTGATTTGATTTTGATGAACCCTACTACTATAGAAGTTAGAAATCGTAAAACAGCTAAATATTAAAATTATTCTTTATATATTATTCTTATTATCTAACTGATCCATTATTCTTTCAATATTTTCTGATAGGTAATGATGTAATTTATATTTGCTAACAGCCCATTCAGCGGTTCTACCTTCTAACTCTTTATTATATGCATCTATGTATCTTTAAGACTTGTATGCAAATTTACGAATAGTTGTTACAGGAATACTAATAAGAACTTTCAGAACCTGTATTAATAAGTCAGCAAAATTATAACTACATTGCCACCTTGTCTTCCATTTTGCAAAGCCCTAGTATCGTTCTATGAAATTGTATTTACAATAAAATTTTGGATATTGTTCAAAGATATGTTTTGCTTTGATTATTTCTTCCTTTAATATCGAATGTTATTCACAAAAATCAGGTTGTAATAACATGATTCATCATGCATAACAATCAAGTCTTTTTGGATCAACTTCATCATGTTTTTCAGAGCATTATTACATATCAAATGAATATTATTTGTTGGCTAAAGATTATGTTCTTTAAGTATTTATTTAATACCTTTTGGCTGACTTTTTAGTTTATGATTATTTAGAAATATCATCAATTACACATGCTTTTCTCCATTTTCATTAATATACTAACTATCATGCATTCTTGACTATATTCCTTCAGGACTAAAGTTCATTCTTGTTGCAATTAGTGCATCAACTGCTATTGTATTATGGTTTGTAAATTGATTAAAACAAAAAACTCCAATACAACCAGGATACAATATTTCAAATATTGGAATTTTTTGATTTATGAGCTATATTTGTAAATGAAAAAATTATTTATTTAGATTTTTAAAAAACCCACACACTTTAATTTTAGGTCTAAGAAAAGCTTACCTGATCCAACATATATTCTGATTTTCAATATTCATCTGTTTATATAGAATGAAGAACAAAAGCTTCCTTATTCTTAATATGTAGATTTGCTTGCATTTATTTATCAGATAATTGTAACAGCCTATGACATAGACAAAAAAAGGCCAAACTATGATAGAGCATTCTATGTACTTCTTTTATAGAATATCTTCATTATCTTTTATCCAAATTCTCTATTACCTATTATTTGCATAAAAATGACATTCATCATGCGTTATTTGGACTAATTTTTTTTCTTTTGACTTAAATTGAGATTCTAAAACAACATCTAACATATCACCATCGAAAACTTTCATATATTTTTATTATTCAAACATCTTTTCTAACTATTCCTTTTTATACTTTACTACATCTGGTCTAAATATGATACAGCAATTAATTTCAAATTTAAAATATGTTGCAACATAAACTATAATTAGTTGCAACATATATAAGTCAAAACTAATTGTAATGTATGTTACAATATTAAAAGTTGTAACATATTAATTACAGTTCTCATCTTTAATCTAGCCGCTTATGCTCATTATAATAAACTTCTTCTTTCTCTCATCATATTTATATTCCCACAAATGCATATAGTTTTGACAGGTCTTCTCAGAAAATGTGTCTTTCTTGATGTAGCCTATTAATTTTAGGAATAAAGTTTCTCAATATATCTTTTCAAATTGTCAGAAGAACACAATTCTGATTTTTATTATCGTAACCATGCTTGGCAGTTCTCCTTAAGATCTTTATCATTTAATAAACTTTCTAATTTCGTATGCTTTTCTTGACAATAGACAAGAAGTTCATCCATTTGTATAAAATGGCCTCCTCATTTTTGAATATATCTTGTCATATAATTACCTTTATTTCACATGGCTTATGCAATATAATTGTTGGCGTCCATTTTATCCTGCCCATCTAATAATAACTGTATGCAGTGATGTATATTTTTGATGTCCTAAACATTTTGAGACTGTCCCATACTATGTCCTAAAATGTCTCACATTAAGTCCTAATATCGCAGGCCATATCCCAAAAATGTCCTATGATAATACTGACTATATGTATCTACATATACTCAAATAACATAAATAATCATAGGTAAAAATATTACGATTTATTTTGCTAATTTTGATATTGAATACTGTTAATCTATTTCTTCTAAGCATTTTTATATATTTTTATAATTTCAACAGAAGTTAAAGAACTTTACATAGTTTTAGGAGATAGAGATGAAGATTTTGTAAATAATTATAATGGTTGTGATGATTGTGATGAGAAAATACTAGTTGATGCTTCAGTACTTTTAAAAAATATATTAAGTATTTTCATTCCTTTTGCATTGTGTTTTAATTCTTTCTTTTTATTTTTATTCCTCCATATTGTAGTTCTTGAGCCTCCAGTATATGCTACTCTAATATTATTTGCAGTATTCTTATGCTAATGAAGAGCCTCAGTTATAAGTCTGTTTCCTGCTTCTTCAAATTCTTTAACTCCTCTTCTATCCAATAATTAACAGGTTTTTCTTCAATTTCAATAGTTTCATTAACTTCTAAAGCTTCACCAACAATTTTACCATCTACTTCTGATTTAATATCTCTTCTGTAATAGTTTCTTGAGATATATAATGGCCTTTCTTTCTAGGTAATTTACTTACTTGTTGTTGTCTCTTTGTTTTATGTTATTAAGTTTAAACTGTTTGTCATTAAGTTAACAAAGATTATTTGCTAGCATAGAGTTTAAGTGTGTCTAAACTATGGAAGAAATAAACACCAATAATTAAATTGAAGGATCAGGTCATCTTTATTGATATAGATTTAAAGAAAAATAAATTATTTAATGAGCAAAGATAAGTTTTAGAGATAAAATATTGATTTATTAGAGAATTATAATGACTTTGCCATTTAGCAGGTCAAAGATACAGAGTATTTATATAAAATAAAATAATAGTAAATAAAATATGATAAATATAATAAATATAACTAATCTATCTAAACTAACAAATATAATATATATAACAGATATAATAAACCTGGTAGATCAGTCAAATATGACCAATATATTATATTTGTCAGATTTGTCTAATTTGTCATATTGGTCAGATCAGCCAATTGATTTGAATCACATGATTGGTTATATTTGATTGGCACAGCATAGATCACACCTTCAATCTTCCCTTTCTAAATTTTGAGCTTTTGCCCAAATGTTGGTAGCTTCATTAACTATAGATCAGTAGGATTCACTTGATAATTAATAAATATCTTTAAAGTCACATTCTTAGTTCATTGGATTTGGTCTACTCCTAAAATTTCAAACAAGATATATCTAAATAGATACATAACTATAATATTTTGTGAGAAATCCTCTTAATTGACTTCTTTAAGAT